TACTGGAATTTGGAGGATAGCCATACTAAAAGGGTCTAACTTGGGGAGTATACTGGGGTTTTGGGTGGTGGAAAATGTGCACTGGTGAAGGGATAGGTGTTTGATCATTGTATGACTGAGGCTCAAATATGGAAGCTTTGTAACTGTTCTCACAGTGGTTCAATAAATAAATTTTAAAAATGAAATTAAATTTTAAAAAATTAAAAATAAAAAATAAAATAAAAGGGTCTAACTTCTATGTTGTTCTCTGCCTGAGCCTGAAGCTTCCCCCATGTCTTTCTGACAACTCTTCTTTATTATTTAACTTTTTTATTTATTTATTTTACTTTTTCACTGAATCACTGTTAAGATAGACCCTTACAAAGCTGTTCATGATTAGGTTTCAGCCGTACAGTGTACATTTCCATCCCTCCACCAGTGTACATTTCCCAGTACCAGTGTCTGCAAGTTCTCTCCCATCACCCCAACCCCCAACCCCAGCCTGCCTCTAGGCAGGCGCTTTTCTTCTGTCTCTGTCTCCATCTCTGTCTCTGTTCCTCTCTCTGTCTCTCTGTCTCTGTCTGTCTGTTTGTCTGTCTGTGTCTCTCTGTCTCTCTCTCTCTCCTTTTGGGCATTGTGGTTTGCAATATTGATACTGAAAGTGACAAACTCTTTGTATCCATTAGAACCCAGTGCACTCTGGGAACCTTCCCGGGCAGAGCAACTTATCCTCATTCCAGATACACACTATACTGGATTCTCACAGGGTTTTGCCTTCAGTCTCTTAAAATACACAGACAAAACTCAATGCCTAAGGGAAAAAGGTTTAAGCAATGGTCTCACTTAGGATCCCCACTCTCCAAATCAATCCCACTTGACTCAGTATTAACATCAAACATTGAGTTTGCATTATTGACTGTGCATGCATGCAGATGTGTGTGTGTGTGTGTGTGTGTGTGTATCCCAGGTGCTGGACTAAGTACTTAGCATGCAGCATCTCATGTTAGCTCCTCACAATCTCGAAAGGCAAGTTCAGTTGAATCTCCATTCTTTGGATGAGGGATGTAGACACACGGAGACAAGTTTCTTATATGTGTTTTTGCACCTGTAAACACATCTCATTACAATGATCTCTTCATGAGGTCCCCTCCCCGCCCCATCAAACAAGAAGGGAAGTTCCAAAAGGACAGAGGCAGGAACAATTTTTTTCTTATATTCTTAGATTCTAGAGTGGTGCCTGGCATTGAATAAGCATTCAGTAAACTTTTGTGAATGAGTGAACAAATCACTTTACAGATGAGGAAGCTGGAAAAGTAACTCACCATGAGCACACAGGTAGATGTGGTGGGACTCTGACTCAAACCAGACTCAGTGATATGCTGGTGTTGAACAAGCAGTACATTGTGAAAACAATAACCCTCACTTGTAGCATTTGTTGAGTTCTGTGACATAAATACTCCCACCATGGCTGATTTCAAACAACCAACCTAATGTTAATATAGTTGAAAATTTCCTCGAAATACCGTCATAGGCGCGTACAAGCCTCTCTACTCAAGTTGGCTCCAGAATCCCACAAACTAGAACATAGTTCTAAAAGATTCACGGTTCTAAAGGACACATCCTCAGCATTCCTGTTGCTTCCTGAACAGGGCACTGACCATACTCATAGCTAAATAGGAGGGGAAAAGACACCCAAACAACTCAGTCCAAAGATTGCATAGGTGATGTGGAAATAGCACAAACCCAAGGCAGGAAGGAAATTCAAGGAACTGGAATACAAGGCACATGCTTTGCCTACATTCAATGCCAGGGGACTGATTAGCCCTCCAGAACCCTGAGGAGAGGCTTCTGAGCACCATGCTGGGTGCAGTTCCCTCTGGTGTATCCCCAAAGCCAAATAAAATAAATAAACAAAAATCCATAAAGCACAAACCCAATCATTAAACTTCCCTGAGACAGACCTTTCAACACCTTCCCAGTGTTTCAGCCCCAAATACAATCTAGTTACTATAATCCAGAAGCCCATTGAGAATGCTCTCCTGGTTCCAGGTATGTACTGAGTCTTGCTTTGTTTTGATTTTTTGGCCGCATCCAGCGATGCTCAGGGGTTGCTCCTGTAGGTGTTTGGAGGATAGTGTGGTGCTAGGGATTGGACCCACGTTTCCGCAAGCAAAACGTGCTCAACCCATCTATCTCTCTGACTGAGCATGAGGCTTTTTGTACAGATATTCAGATATTGTGCTGATCATGGCATGTACAATTCCTGTTGTCATAGGCTCTGCACTAGTAAGGCAGCAAACAACCATGAAGTGCACAGTTACAAATTGAGTGAGATATGCATCCTGGAGGAAGGGCTAGAAATGAGAGTGAAGAGGAGAGATTTTTTAGTAGGATGATGGTAAGTTGAGAAAGGTAAAGGTAAAAGCTAAAGGCCCTCCCGTTGATCGTTGATTTGCTCGAGTGGGCCCAGTAACGTCTCCATTGGAGACTTTGTTGTTACTGTGTCTGGCATATCGAATACTCTCGGTAGCTTGCCGGGCTCTCCGAGAGGGGCGGAGGAATCGAACTCGGGTCGGCCATGTTGGCCGCTTGTAAGGCGAACGCCCTACCCGCTGTGCTATCGCTCCAGCGTAAGTTGAGAAAGACTCCAGGTAAGTTGAGAAAGACTAAGAAAATGACATTTGAGACTCAGTGATGAGAAATTGTTGAATGGGATGTGGGATTAGAAGACAGGGAAAAGAGAATTTAGCATTTTGAAGAATAAAAGCAATTCCCGTGTAATTGGAGAGAGTGGCGATGGGATGGGGGGGATGATTATACTATGGTTTGAGTATTTGTGTCCACCTCCCCCTAAAATTATATTGAAATCCTAACCCCAGAAGAGAGAGTCATCAGAAGAGGTGCTTTGGGTTAAGTCATAAGGACATCCCTCATGAACAGAATGGGCACTTTTACAAAAGAGGTAGTAGTGATTTCTCCAGTCACCACAGTTGAGAATATACCACCCCTGAACCACAAAGCAGCACCCCCCCCTCCCCAGAATAGGCCTGCTTGTGCCTTGGGCACAGATGTCCCAGTCTGCAGAATCGTGTGAAATAAATGTCTGTTGTTTGTAAGCCACTGTGTCTAGTATTGTTACAGCAGCCCGAATAGATCAAGATAAATGATATGAAGTGGAGGACGGGGCACTAATAGTTCAAGGAGGAGGCTAACTACACGTTGAAGATAGAGCCACACTGGGACTTAGATGCACCCTTTGAATGATTCTCTTCTGCAGAGAAACAACTTTCTCCTATAGAAAACCTTTGTACTTAATAGTCGAATGAACATTATCCAGTCCCCACAGTGCCTTGCATTGACAAAAGAAGTCCAGAAAGGAAAATAAGATCATCCACAGCTTTGTAGTTGGTAATATTTATACCCTTGGGAAATTGCTTACCCAGCCAGCACAGCCTGATGGAATACAGCGGGGCTGTGAAGGACTGATATCTGTGTAATGGAGAATTTCTACAGATCCACATTAAAAAAAATGGAGAAAGGCCTTGGGAATGTGGTTCAAGTGGTAGGTCCTGACATCCCAGCACTGTGACCCTCCTCATCCCCCAACACAGCTGACTGAGTGTGGCTTTGATAGCTGTAGGAGCGCCTCCAGGAGTGGCCCCAACAACTAAAAAAAAAAAAAGCACTGCACTGTAGCACTGTCCTCCTGTTGTTCATTGATTTGCTCGAGCGGGCACCAGTAATGTCTCCATTGTGAGACTTCTTGTTACTGTTTTTGGCATATCAAATACGCCACAGGGAGCTTGTCAGGCTCTGCCCTGCAGGTGGGATACTCTTGTAGCTTGCCGGGCTTTCTGAGAGGAATGGAGGCTTTTGGGGAAGCTTCTAATCATCTTTACAGGTGTTTCCAGTCAGGCATATATGCGGGCAGGATACTCTCGGTAGCCTGCCGGGTTCTCTGAGAGCAAGAACTAGACAATAAGAGGTCCAAGCTTCTGGAAGCTTGGTTTTATAGTCTCTGAATGTTGGCCATAGATGGGATTACACGGCAAGGGCAGTAGGTGGGTGTAACTGTCTAGCTACTGGAAGATGGGGGATCTGGGTGGAGGAGGCCCAGTTCAGAACCGAGTAGGCTTGGAGATCTTAGCCCCGAATCCTGCACACCTGGGTTTCTCTGCCAGTTCCTTCATGCGTGAGACTCGTTGAAGCATGTGGAGAGTGGTCTTAGCATGGGTGTGGCTGAGGTCTTCAGCTGCTGAGGCTCTGCTCCGGTGGAGAGGGAAACTCAATCTGGCTCCCTCCAAGGGGCCCCAGTGAGGACAGCCAGGCGCAGAGGCAGGAGACTCTGAAATTATATATATAAATGTATATCGTGGTTTATATATTATATATATTTATATATATTGTGCTGCTTTGTGGTTTGAAGGTGGTATTGTTTCGTGGCGTGGTGATTGGGAGAAATCTCTTCTGCCTCTTCTATTAACATGCCCATTCTGTTCATGAGGGATGTCTTTATTTAATATTTAATAATATATTCTAATATTCCCATTATATGCATAATATCATTTTAACACGTGATTAGTGAACAGCTTGGAAATCCAGTGTGTATTTTATCAACAATTCAGCATAATTCAGTTTGCATCAATCGTATTTCTCACATGCAGCAACTACATGTAGTTAATTGACACAGTACTGGACAGTGCAGTTCTATGGTCTCCCGCCTCCGTTTCCTTATCTGCAAAAACTGGGTTCAGGATGAAGACACGTATCCCGCCTAGCTCAAAGGCAGCACCTGAAAGCACGTGGAAAGCTTCGCGTCCGGTACCGACCCTCTCACGGCGCCGCCCTCCTCCAAGGCTCCGCCCTCCGTCCCGCCCCCTAAGGGCACCGGGCGGAAGAAAATGTCCCAAAACCAGCGCGCTTTACGGCAGCGTCGCTTTTTTACAGCAGTGTGGCTGAGGGCGCCGGGAGCGCACTTACATCTCATTGGCTCTGGGGGGGGGGGGCCCCGCTCTGGGCGCTTTACGGCAGTGTGGCTGGAGCGGCTGCCGAAGGGCCCCCGGACGAGAGCGTGAGTGGAGGGAACGAGAGTTGCCGGTGTCAGACGGGCCTGGAACCATGGACGTGGGCGAACTTCTGAGCTACCAGGTAGAAGGGTCCTGGGGGGAGCCGGGGCCGTCGCTTTCCCAGCGGAGGGCTTGCAGGACCAGAGCCCCTTCCTCTCACCTCCTTTCTTGCCCTTCGCTTCCAGGCCCGCGTCTCCCGAGCTCTCCTGCCACCGGGCGTCCAGCCTCACGTCGCACCTCTCTGCCCCGGGACTCCCCTGGGCCTTCTCCATTCATTCCCTCTCGGGGCCTTTGCTTCCGTCCTCGGCCGCCGGGTCCTCCCTGGCCCCGCGCCGCGGCCCGATCGCTCCCAGCTGCGCGGGAGGCCCTGGCCCCAGCCTGTGTTCCCAGCCGACCCCTTTTTCCCGGGATCGCCCTCCTCCCTGGGGGGTGACTGAGGTGCTGCTGCCGGTGCTGGGGGCCGGGGACACTGGTCTTTCTTGCATCTGAGCCCCCGATCTCTGGATTTTTTTGTTTGAAGTGGGATGAAACTGCTGCTGGCGGGAGGTGTTTGCAGTGAGAACTGGAGTAAGTGCTCAGGACTCGAGTTTAGGTGACCTGGATCCCACCCTACATTCCCTTGTCTTCTTCAGCGTGTCCTTGTCCTAGAGCCTCGCTGACCCAGGAGGGCACACCCAGCACCTAGCGCTGTGGGACACTGGCCCCTGGGCCAATCTGAATGGAGAATTGCTGTAAAAACTATAATGCAACTGGTAGGGCCAGTTTGCCTTACTCTGGGGACGAAGGTTCGTGGGCATGCTATATGGTCCCCTCCAGGTACTGCCAGGAGTAATTCTTGAGTCCAGAGTCAGGAGTAGTCCCCGAACATCGGCTGATGTGGTCCCCAAACAAAATAAAACAAACACCTGCTTCTTGAAACCCGTATGTTCTGGGTTTTGAAGACTCGGTAGGAAAATGTAATTTTCATGTTGCGCCTATCACTTGCATGGTTTACATGATTCCATTAGGAATAAAATATGGAATGAAATATTAAAACCTTTTTTTCCTTATGGCTGGACTATATCCACTGATGCAGGCAACTTCTCACTGAGTGCTCCAAGGTCTTGCTCTGCAGTGCTCAGGGTACCATGTGGTACCCAGGATGGAGCCTGTGGCTCTCGCATACAATGTTGCCTAACCTGGGAGCCTGCCCTGCCCTCTGATAACTTTTTTTTTTTTTGGTTTTGTTTTGTTTTGGGGCCACATCTGGCAATACTCAGGGGTTACTTGTGACTGCACTCAGGGATCATTCCTCATGGTGCTTGGGGGACCACATGGGATGCTGGGGATCAAATCCCGGTCCGCCATGTGCAAGGCAAATGCCCTACCCATTGTACTATCACTCCAGCCCTAACCTTTCTTTTTTTTAATTTGAAGTTTTTATCGGGGGCCTAGGCAACATGACTACAGTAGCGTTAGTGTTTATGGTTTTTTTTTTCTGTACAAAGTTACTGCATCTCCACCACCACTGTTTCCAAGAGTCCCCCTTTCTCCCCCTACCCCCCTTGGGCCACTGTCCTTGTGGTCTGCCTCTTTCTCCCTCTCTTTCCACTGCTGGGGCATCTCAGTTTTGTAATCTTCAGTTTTGTAATCTAAGACCTCAGGTTTGTCATCGTTTGTCATCGTTTGATACTGTCCACTTCCTTCCTGTTTTCCTACATACTCTGTTGACTTGGATAGGTAGCCATTAGCCTTTTTTCATGCGGAAGCTAAAATTACATCGAGGCTGGCCCAATATTTCTGTTGAGCAGCTATGCAATAGAAAATTGGAACTTCAGATCTCTGCTACCCCATGTGGCTTGGAGTCTGTTTTGCTTCTGAATGGTGGCGGAGCATTTATAATGCTTAACCTCTCTCTCCCTTGGTTTCCTCATCTGTAAATGTGGCATTATGGTGTCTACACCATAGCTGGTTATAGATACGTACAACAAGATGTAAAATGGTATGACATGTAAAATGCCATGGATTTTTTTTTTTACTGCCTGTGGGAGTGAATGTTCAGTAGTGTCAGTAATTACGCTTGTGCCACTCAGCCTATGTACAGAGATCTGAGTTGGAACTCTACAGATATCATGGGAAAGAATTTGTAAGCAATGGGATTTAAATTTTTTTTTTATTTTATAAAGTTGTTCACAATATTTTATTACACTTAATATTCAAACACCAATCCCACCACCATTACGCCACATTTTGGGTGTTTCATCCTGAACCCCAATCCCTGCCTCAAAGCATCACCGAAATAATAAATTTCCCTCTAAGGTTTGTTGCCTCCTAATTTATTTGAATCCCATCAAATGTGGTGCGTTACTCTTGGAGTATGGGTAGGGTGTGTCCTATGGAGCATTCACGGCTGTACGGTTCAGAAATAGGTTTGTTTGTGGGTGAGGTTCTTCCCGAGCGTGTGGAGAGTGGCCGTGAGCGTGGCAGCAGTTGAGTTCTGTAGGTTTTTGGCTGCTGGGGCTGGGTGCCTTGGGGTGGGGAGGACTCTCACCTGCTCCCCTCTGGGGCGCCTCAAGTGAAACAGCCTGGTGCTGGGTCCGGTGGCATGGTTATGGCGAGCATCATGTTATGCTCCCTCCGGGAGAGAAGGACATGTGATCTGGATGGTGGCCGAGATTCTGGTGGCAGCCAGGAGTGGCTTATGGGCATGGCTGCTGAGTTGCTGGGAGCAATGGGATTCGTAACCCTGGGAGTTTGGTGGATGGGGTTAGGGCCTGGTGATGCTTAGGGCCACACCTGGTGGTGCTCAGGAATTACTCCTGGCTCTGGGCTCAGGAATCATTCCTTGGGACCATACGTGATGCTGGGAATCAAATTCGGGGCTGTCCAGTGCATGACAAGTACCTTAACCCCCACACTATCTCTCTGACCCAGATTTTGTCCGTCGTCCCCTTCCTGTCTCCCCCTCCCCCCTCCCTCCATCTCCCAACGCAGTTTTTCAGCCACACTTGGCGATGCTCAGGTGTTAGTTACTCGTGGCAGTGCTTGGGGAAACCATATGGGATGCCAGGGTTTGAACTCGGATCTGCTGCCTACAAGACAAGTGCCCTACCTGCTAAGCTGTCACTCTGCCCCGCCCAAGATTTCACTTTTCAAGACAGTCATTGAATGTAAAGGAAGAAAAGAAATAAGAAAGCCGTTGAATGAGTGACTATGCTTTGGGAATTATTAAATGGCTAGCCCGGTAACTCACAGAATATTAAAGGTGGAAGAGGTTCACTCATTTGCTCAATAAACATCTGACTGAACACCTACTGTATAAGACACCCACGTCCACTGAGTACATAACACCGAATAGAACAGACAGGCTTCTCTGTGAACCTTACAGGTTAGTGGGGAAATAATAGGGCGTAAACAGCATGAAATTCAGATGGTGACAAGTGCTTTGAAGGGTCCAGGGTGTATTACAGGCCATGATTTTTGGTATGGTGCTGGCCGCAGGTGACTGCTGAAGACTTAAAATGTGTATTGTTTGAGCTGAGATCTAGTTATAGTAAATACGCACTGAAGTTCCAGGAATTTTTATTTTTGGTTTGAGACCATACCTGGCGGCGCTCGGGCTGCTTCTGATGATGTGCTCTGGACCTCGTGCTGCTCAGGGAGCATGAGTGGTGTAGGATGCAAGGCAAGTGCCTTAACCTCTGTCCTGTCTCTCTGGCCCTGGAGTTCCAAGATTTAAAAGAAGGTAAAAATTATGAAAGCGAAAAATATTTAAGATAGATGAATAATTTTTGTAGTGCAGACATACTAAAATGTTGATACTTAGCATTAAAGAAAATGCGATCAAAATCGGTGTCTATTATTGGTTTTGGGCCACACCTGGTGGTACTCAGGGCTTATTCGTGGCTTTGTGCTTAGGGATCACTCCTGGAGGGGCTTGGAGGTTCATTTATGATGCTGGAGATCAAGCTGGGGTTGGCTGCATGCAAGGCAAGCGCCTTCCCTGCTGTACTCTCTCCATCACCTCTTTTTTTAAGATTTTATTTTTATAAAGTTGTTCACAATAATTTATTACATTCAATATTTCAACATGAATCCCATGGCCATTACACCTTCCCACCACCATTATTTCAAATTTCCACACCCTCCCCCCCAAGCCTGTCCCCAAAGCAGGTCCTCAATAATTTATTTTGTGTTGTTTGTTATGAATAAACCACTAAAAATGATCCCAAAAAGTTTCCTTAGGGGAAAGTGTGTCCATCTCCTCATTTTATTTATTTAGTTTTTTGGGCCACACCTGGTGGTGCTGGGGTTATTGCTGGCTCTGTGCTCAGGGATCATTTCTGGCAATGATTTGGGTACCAGCTGGGGTGCAGGGGATCAAACCCAGGTCAGCTGTGAGCTCAGGCCCTGACTTCATTTTATTTATTTTTTTGGGTCATACCTGGCGACACACAGGGGTTACTCCTGGCTCTGCACTCAGGAATCACCCCTGGCGGTGCTCAGGGGACCATATGAGATGCTGGGAATCGAACCCAGGTTGGCCACGTGCAAGGCAAAAGCCTTACCCACTGTGCTATCGCTCCAGCCCCCTCATTTTATTTTTTTTAACATTTTTTTTTTCTTTTGGTGCTAGGGATCATGTTCAGGGTCTTGTAATATGCAAAGTGATTCATCCCCATCCCTTCACTGTTTATTTATTTTTTTCCCCATTTTAGGCCATACTTGCTGGTGCTCAGAGATTACTCATCTGTCTCTGCATTCAGGGATCACTTCTGATGGGACTTGGGCAACCGTACAGGGTGTTGGGAATCAAACCTAGGTTGGCTGTGTGCAGCAAATGCCATACCTGCTGTACTATCGCTCCAACACCCTCTCCTCCTTCAACCTCCATTAGAATTTTAAACCAAGGGGCAGCAAGATAGATATTGGGGGAGGGAGGGAATGAGGGAATTGTATGTGGACAATCCTATGGGGTCTAAACCGGTACTAACTGCAATCAGCTTTACAGGCTGTCAACTTTGCTATCTGTCCAACCCCATTTTGTTTTGTCTTTTTTTTTTTTCTTTTTGGATCACACCTGGTGATGCCCAGGGGTTACTC